TCTGCATCTTGTACAGCAATTAACCACTGGGAAGAATGTATGCAGTGTATTATTGAAAAAAAATAACATTTTTGTTCTACAAGCTTTGAAATACTACATAAATATAACATATGTATGTGATAGTACAAATCTGATGATGTCTGCCTATACTTGTACAGAAATTGTGTACCTAAACCCATGCAAATTTTCCTATGAAGAATTTTGTTATAAAAAAAAAATAAAAGCAAAAAAAAAATAAAACCTGTTATCAAGGACAGATAGCTCATCAACTGGATTAAAGCGCTGGTTTAGGTTTACATTGCAGACACAAGGTTTGATTCCCAGTGTGTTGCCCCTGGGCATGTTGAGACAGCAATTGAGACTGGGCGTGGTGGCAAGTGCCTGTAATCCCAGCTCTTGGGAGGCTGAAAACAGGAGAATCACTATGAGTCAGATCTGTGTAATGAGACCTTGTAGACCCTGTACTACATACATAAAAAATAAATAAATTAAAAAAAATTCCTGTTATCTCTGCAGAAGAACTGGAAGTATTCTTGGGGTGCTTAGTTTTATAACAGGGTCCTTGTGTGTGCTACTCTGAGGAGTTCTGATAATAAAACTAGATGAAGAGGTGGCATTCACCATGACAACATTCATTGTTGTAACATTTGAGTAACTCTAAACAATTTACAGAGTTTTTATATCTATATTTGACTTAGTTACCCTTTTTCTTTTTACAATTGAAGAATCACACTGAATTGAATACTTTTACTTTTCTTTTTTCTTTCTTTTTTTTTTTTTTTTGAGATAAGAGTTTTGCTATGTAGTTCAGGCTGGCCTTGAACTTGCAATGATCCTCCTGCCTCAGCCTGCTGGACGCTGGCATTACAGACTATACTTTAGTTTTCAATGTGCCTGTCTATATTCCAAGCATATTAGTAATGGTTTTCTTATATAATCCTCTCAACTTTGAGGCATTATTATTCCCATTTTACAGATGGTAAAACTGAGACTCAGACTGGTTTTCAAATTGCACAAGATAATGTAGTTAGTAAGTGATATAGCAGGGATTTCAAAGTGATATGCTTAATTCTGAAATCCAGGCTTTGAACTTGCAATGGGTGTTCTGATGCCAGTAAATCATTCTACTGCAGCACATGTCTATTCCTAATTGTTATTATCCAGATCTCTCAAAGAATTCACCTAGTCGTTTGATAAATAGTTAAATATTATATGCACTTTACTATTTGAGAGTCTTTGGAAAACTTAAAGCTGTTCAGTTTTTCTAAGGGAAAATAAAACTATTTTTTATGAAAGTTTAAATAGCAGTGTAACCTGGTATCAAAGGCTTGTCCAGCAAAGTATGAAAGGCACAGTGCCAGAGGGCTCTCTAAGATGTAATTTTCACATATAAGGGATCAGTGATACCAATGCCAACATCAATGGTGTTGTTAGTTTTTAGCAAGAAACCAAATTTGGGATATACAAATTTCCTTTTAGTTTATAGAGCCATCAAAATATTCTGCAACATATTTTATCATTTAAGAGTTACATACTGAAAGTAGTGGTCTAAATGCTCAAAGGGTATGGAAATCAGGGTCGTGAAGAATAGGAAAACGTAGTTATGAACTATCTTACAAAAGGTTAGAGTAAAATGCATGGGATTATGGGAGCAGAATTCTTACTATCAAGGCTACTAATTAAATGAAGAGGTAATTTAGGCTTATTTTACCTATGAACCATATTCCGAGTATACCAGACAGAAGGAAAGGACTCCTTTAGAAGAGATGTATAATTACGGTTTAAGTCCCGTCCAGTTAAGGAACACCGATAATTTCCCACAATCACACCATCTGGATTCAGCATGGGCACCACCTTGAAGACGAAAGTGTCCCGAAGCAACTGTGCATCATTTGAGTCTCCTAAAATGTAATCAAGGAAGCCTTTCATAATCCAAGAGCTGTTGGTTTCTCCTGGATGAACCCTTGCAGTCAAAATCACAGCCTTTCGCTTTCTGGAGTCAGTGTTCTTCAAGGGAGTGGTGATTGTTAAAACATACACCATGTTCCTAGCAAGCGTGTGGCACAAAACACGAATTTTACAAAACTTTGACCGGACAGGGTCATTGTTGATGCTAGAAAGGTATTCTTGTAGCTTAGTGTAAGTGTACGGATAGCAGTGAGCAAAGTAGCAGGTATCCTTGTTATGCGGAAATTGAAATGTCCATGTAAGAGAGAAAAAATGGTGCCCATCTTGCTCCAGGTTGTTCCTGTAGTACTTGATCTGGTCTCCTATTCTCTGCCAGCCAACATTACGAGCTTTGGCTTCTTTTTCAGAATAGAACAGTGGGCGCATACCACGATTGTAAAGACTAGCAGGCTTGGTGAAGTTGACAATGGTGAATCTGTAGACTACTTGTGCTTGGGTATTGGTCACTTGGAAGTAGTACCACTGTGTATGTTTATTTGTGAAGAGGTCTGGGCGTACCGTCAATTGGTATTCATATTCTGCCCTAATATAGAAGAAAAAAGATAAAAATATGTGAAAATGATATTTGAATTAAAATTAAGGAATAAAAGTATTCAATTTCTAGAAGTTTTCTTCACAGTAGGCTTTTTTGGAGAACAGTGTTTACTTAAACAGCAAATAAATTAAAGGTTTTGAAATTTTCTCATTTCTTACATGAGAAGCTGCAATTGCATTTTGGGATTAAGTTATTTTGCTTTTTTGAATTTTACAGAGGTTTACCACAAAGAGGTAAGTCTTATTTTTTTTTTTTGGTTCACTTATGTATTTATGAATGGAAAAATTTATAATGCAAATTCACTCCTTAAAAAACTTAAGTTACAAATTACAACATTACAAGATAATTTTTTTGTTTGTTTCACAAGAAGACCTTAGCGACTCATCTAATATGAGTACTCCAGAAAGTAGTACATAAATTGGAAGCATCTTGGAATTTTTAAGTACATTTAATAAATTCTTATGCATGCTTTGAACAGTTTTTAAAAATGAGAGAATATAAACAAAAAGTATGACCAGAACCAGCATTTAGGTTTTCTGATTTTAATATTAGTCTGACATAGCATTAGTAACCATGCTGCACTGAAACATGTAATGGTACAGTCTAAATCATGATTTGTTAAATATATCTCACTTCCCCAGAATATTTAGGCTGGACATAAAGTTAACAATGTTGAAGTATATAAGCATAATAATTTATGGGCAGCCCCTTGTATAAATTGCTGTTTAGCAAAATACAAACTGCCACAAAGATTTATGCTTACAGGTGGACATTCAAATATACCAATAGACAGCATGTCCTGAAAATATGGGCACATTTTAGAACATTAAGACAACTCTGTTAACCATAATAGTCCCGCAGTATGAGTAATACTCTACTTCAAAGGCAAAAAAAAAAAGATTAATCAGTATAGTGCATGATTGATTCAACATAGTTTCCAGGGAAGAGACCAGTCACTCGATTGCAGACTCCTTCATACCAGCCATCATCGTTCTTCTTTATCATGTAAATGACTGCACCCTCCATAAAGGACAGCTCATCATCCTTGTCTTTTGTATAATCATATATTGCAACAACTTTTTCAATATAATTCTTGGGGGCCCAGGTAGGATCCCCATCTGCATAGGGGTCACTATATTGAACTACTGCAGCTTCCTCATCTTCATAGTCCACTGGGGGCGGGGTGGTGGAGGGGGAGAGTCATCAAATATGGGAATGTCATCTGGTGGAGGTGGTGACGGCGGAGTTGGGCTATCAGCAATGTTTTCCTGCACCCTGGCCACGAAGCCTGTGAAAGGTATCTGTGGAGTCAATTGAGGCATATGGGGAGGGGATGGAGCAATAGAAATTGAATTTTGAGAATAAAATGGACCTCCATTAACATGAGGCTGAGCAGAAAATTGAGCAGTCACAGAAGGAGTCCGTCTGTATCCACCCGAAGATGTCAAAGAAGTGGTAGAGTTGTGTGGAGAAATCTGCCTGGTCATTGTGCCATACTGGGAACCAGGAGCTGAGCCCGCGGCTGCTGGTCCAACAGTGGGTGGAGAAGGTGTAGGTATAGCAATGGGAATGTCAGTGCTACTGCTTCCACTGTTCTCTTGACTTCCACTTCTTCTACTACTTCCACTGTGTGTCCTTGGTCTCTTATTTAAAGAGGCTGTCCTGCCTGGACTATGCTGACTTCCAAGTCTTGCAGGACTGGTCATGTAATCATTAGGAACTGTTGGGGGTTTAACAGGCTCCAGGGTTTTATAGGGAGTATTCCGCCCCAGTGTTCCCCGGCCTGACATAGGAGGGCTTGGTGGTTTCTGAGTAGGAGGATTTGTTCTCGACAGTGTGCCAGTTCTTGCAGGCTGGTTATTTCCATGCTTGACACCATGGCCCACATCATCCAGAACTGTGTAGTCAATGGGTTTCCGCATATACCTTACAGGGCGCTCCATATTTGCAGGTGCTATTATTTTGTGAGTTCTTGATGTGTTCTTATTTGTTGTCAAAATACCAATTTCTCTTCGAGCCACTTTCTCTTTATGAATATCCACAGTCTGTGAGATATGATTGATGGAAGATTCCATTCTCCGAAGGGGGGAGGGATGTCCAGCAACTGGAGTACATTGTTGGCCAATGCATTTATTTGATGAGCAACACTAGCTAGAGATTGGGTTGTTTATGCTTTGGTCTCTTCTAATGCTTTTCTCTTGTCTGTAGCCTGTATGTAGTTGTTTTCACAGTAGTCCGCCACTCGGGTCAGATTTTGGTAACTCTCTATGAGCGTCCTCTTGCCAGACGGGATCTCCTCCTGTAGTAACATCTGCAGCTCTGCCATTTTCCACCCCTCTGCATCGCTTCCTCTCGCGTTAAAGAGACAGAGGCAGCAAGGTCCGCTGCAGCTCGGAGCACCTCACAGCCCGGATACCAAAAAGGTGAGTCTCAGAGGAGACTTTGGGGAAGGGATTAATGCATTTGTGGTTGCATGCAGGACAGCTGTATCACATTAGGTGGAAGTACAAACTTGTTACTGTATTTGGATATTAAAAATGGTTTAAGGAGATATGTTTGGGTGTCAAGCCCACCAGGAGTGACATGCAGTAGTTAAGCTTAATTGCCAGCTTGAATGGCTTGAGAACTGCCTAGAAGACTGGGAAAGTGCACTTATAGGAGTGCTTGGGTGGATCATGGATGTATGACTCTGGGCTCCACATCTGGTCCTCGGCCCCTTCTCCCTGGTGTGTTCCCCAGACTACTTCCTGACTGCCATGAACCAAGTGTCCCTCCTCTGCCTGGCCCTCCACCAGGAGGCTTCAGCCTTGCAGCCAGCTGACCATGGATGGAATCCTCTGAAGCCATGAACCACTTGAAACCTCTCCTCTAAGCTGTGGGTGCTGGATGCTGCAGCCCAGCAACAGAGAGTTCACTACTATACTATGCTCTTTCTAAAGGGTTTGTTTCTTCTGTAATTTGAGGACACACATAAAACACAAGCACTTGGTAGAAATTTATATATTTCAATGTAACTGTTTCTTATGAAATGAATGATTAGAGTTGTGGAAACTGAAGGGAAAGCCAAAATTTTTAACTGCAGACACATAATTTTATTTTCTAATAATTCCAGTTCTAGGGATATGACAGAACATTCACTGAAAAGCTTAAAAATACATGTAAATTAATATAATCACATCAATTATAAAACATGAACTCCTGTGATACAAGGAGAGTATTTGATAACCATTTGGACCATATGCTTAGTCAATGAAGTTGCTTAAATTGAGGTAAAGTTTTTCACATGAATATTTTTTATATACATAACAATCTTACTTGGTTATTTATGACTTTTTCTTTTTCCAAGTAACCTTTAAAAATATAGATGTGTGTACAGTTACAAGTAATACCTGGAGTAGGTAAAATAAATGGTGCAAACCCTCAATACCTCTAATTAGCAGCTATACTTCTGGAATTACAGCTGGGTAATCAATACTGGGAATTTTTAACATACATAATACAGAATATAATAAATAGCTAATAGTTTAGCTCCTGAAATAGAAATAATTAAAACCTACACTTTGACTACCTTCTGTAGATTACCACTCTCAAATCTTGCTTCAAACATCAAAGTGTTGTCAGAGCCATCCACAGGCTGCCTCAAAGGTGTTCGGTTGCCTCCAACTCGGGAGTACACAAAACAGGGCTCTTTGTAAGCTGATGAGAGATGAAGACCACAGAGATCTCAAGACATGGCTAGAGCAGGCAGCCTCTTCTACATAGAGTTCAAAAACCACAGTCCTACAAATAGAAGGATTTTAAATTTAAAGTAACTTGACTTAATTTGTGTAGCTTGACGTTAGGGTCTATGAGTACTTAGACTAGAAAAGCAATACCTAAAAATAAATTTATATATTTTTATATTGAAAATATTCTGCTTCTGGTCATGATAAGTAAAAGTTGTTCCTTTCCTTTTACTGTAAATGACTGTAAAACCGGACAAACATTATATGCTGCTTCTATGCATTTGAACCAACTATAGAAAAGAACTATACAGGGTCTTTAAAAAGAGAAAAGAATAGGAAGTGGGCCCATGTTTAGGTCTGGATTTCCATGTAGGAGTGTTTTCTGACTGCAGTTTAGGAAAGTGGCACTTAGGAACAGCAAGACAGCTGGGTATTGTGCACACCCCTGTCATCCCAGCACCCTGGGAAGCTATGCAGAGACTGTATGTTTAAACCCAGCCTGGGCAATTTAGCGACTTAGTCAGACCCAGACTCAAAATTAAAAAAAAGAGAAAAGGACTGAAGAGGTAGCCTAGTGTGTGAAGGCCCTGGATTCAATACCTAGTACTGAAAAGTAAAAAGGGACAGTCTTATTGAGGGAAGACAAGACTGTTCAAGACTCAGTACTGTTGAAATTTGTGAAGCAGGGCATCAGAGAGAAGACAGCCACAGAAACAGAGGGCCTCAGTAGTTCCCTAATCTTTCTCTGAGGGCCTGCCTACATGCAGAATGAGACAAGGGTGTAGTAGGATTTCAGAGGCCGTTCAATTCTGTATGTACTAGAATTTCAATTAACCCAGGATGAAAGTATTCACAGAACAACTTAGTCTTTAATTACAACTCCAGAAAGACTGTACCTTTCATATAAAGGCCACAGTCAAGGCCCTGACCTCTCATTAAGGATAAAATAAAATTACTCTCATGCTTATTTTTAAAAAAGCCAAATCATACCTGAAAGAAGCAAAGTGATCGGCCAAAAATTTATCTACTTACTGCAACAAAATTCAACATTTTCTTTAAAAAAGAATATATTGAAGACTCCCTACAAGACATCTTTCACAAAAATGGACATTACCTTTCACTCTTAAATTTGGTAACCTTCCTTCGAGCACATCTTCACAACTCCCGAAAATGGAGTAAAAATAATATCTCAGTTACTTTTCTCTTGTCGCTGGGACAAAGTACACAATACCCAAAAATTGAGGAAGGAAGAGTTTATTTAGCTCACAATTAGTGGAGGTTTCAGTCCATCCTCAGCTGGCTCCAAGGCAGCATGGTATGTGGCAGGGGGCAGCAGTTCATGGTGGCAGAAGACAGCAAAACAGCAAGAGCAAATGGGAGCAGTGGTGGCAACAATGGCAGCAGAGAACAAGTGTCTCCCCTATGTTGCATTCAGGCTATCTGCCCCAGGCCAGGTGTAACACTCACACCCATAATCCCAGCAGCATGCACACCCATAATTCCAGTACTGGGTCATAAATTAATCACAAAGTCTAGAAGTCTGCCCCGTGACTGCATGAGGCTTTGGGGCACACCTAGACATAAACCATAACAAGTAAGATTGAGATACTAACTGCTGTGGCTGTTCTAGCTCCACATACATCCTCTACTCTTCTCCACATTATGTTTTTTGAGTGATTGATCTTTATGGGTTTCCTCGAGGCTCCCCTGACCTTTGGCCCTGGTCAGCAGAACTGATGATAGAGCTTGGGAGCTTGGATGCAGTGGAACTGACCAACTTTCAACTGACTCCCACTTCACTATTCAGGATAGCAGCTATTTGAAGGCCACAGTTGCTTGGGAACTTCCTTTCCAATAGCTGAGTTTCTACAGCTATGGAAACCACCACGTACTCTTACCCTTTTAAGTACGAGAAGTTTGAACCTGTTCTGTTGATGGTTTAATGCTGCTCCACCATCGTCTCTTAGTCTCCTGTACACTATTCTGAATTTTGTAAATTCATTACATTTTTCTCTTCTTTCTTCTTTCTTTCTTTCTTTCTTTCTTTCTTTCTTTCTTTCTTTCTTTCTTTCTTTCTTTCTTTCTTCTTTTTCTTTCTTTCTTTTTCTTTCTTTCTTTCTTTTCTTTCTTTCTTTTTCTTTTTCTTTCTCTCTCTCTCTCTCTTTCTTTTTCTTCCCTCCTTCCTTCCTTTTCTTTTCTTTTCTTTTCTTTAATGGTATCAGGGATCAAAATTGGGACCTTGTGCTTGCCAGGTAGGTGCTTAAGCCACTGCACTATATCCCTGGCCAAATTCATTAAATTTCACTGAACTGTCCCAAGTTACTTAGTGTGTCATCTCATCTCTGATGGGACCCTAACTAATTCACCTTGATTTTGTTAATCAGCTCTCATTTCAATTATTTACTGGTGTAAGCTTGAAGGCAGAACACCCATGTAAATATTTGAGATCAAATTTTAGACTTCAGAGGTACTTCTTTCACTTCAGTTGTATAAAAGTATGTGTGTAAGCACATGGTTTGATTTCTAGAATAGCTGACTGTATGGGGAATAGTCCTTGTGAATTTTGCCTTGCTAGCCCTTTAAGTAAAATATTTGTTGCATTTATTTATTTATGGTACCAAGGAATTGAACTCATGACCTCATGCTTGCTAGGCAGGTGCTGTGCCACTGAGCCATATCCTTGGCTCTAAATAAAATACGTATGAGGTGTAACTGAAAACTATGGTTGGTTAAATTTTAAAAAGATTACTATAGTAAAAGACACATTACCATGAATCTTCCTCAAAATACTCTCCTTCAAACACATTTAGTCCATCATTATTGCCACTCTCTGAAGCAGTTCTGGAAATCATTCTTCATGCGTGTTTTAGTTGTGTTGTTGTGGGTGCCTGAATTGATTTAAAATGTGTTTCTTTCATGGCCATTTTGACTTTGAGGAAGAGCCAGAAGTTGCACAGTGCCCAGTGTAGCGAGTAGGTCAATGAGGACATGCTGTAAGGTTTCACGGGCCTGCCTTTTCGTTGGATGGCTCTCGGCAATGGCATTCACCAGTATTTCTGGTCATACCTTAACACATTCACAGAAGAGGACTTCCATAAATGCTTCAGAAAATGGCAAGAACAATATGTGCCAAGTAATTGGGAGTATTCTGAGGGTAATCAATGGCAATATATGTTTTTCTAATAAATATATCTTATTTAAACATTTACTGTATAATTAAATCACACTTCACATGCTTCCTGTAAAGTTATTTTTATATATGAAAACATCAAAATACTAAACTCTGATAGTAAATTTGTTCAGGAGTCCCACAATTACTCCAGTTAATGCTTCGGAGGCAGTACAACATAAGCTATAGACTGAGCTTTGTGTTTGATTATCTCCATTCTCAAAAGAGCAGGAATGGGACTTTGCTTTAATAGAGCCTGCAAAGTGCAAATATTGATCTTGAGCATTAAGGAATTTTTTTCCAAGATAAAATCTTGGATGTGATTTGCAATGTGCCTATTTTATCTTTTAAAGATAATAACCTCATGAAATGTATCAAACAGGTATGGAACTGAAAGAAAACCATTTGAATAATAAGGTGAATATGAGCTATGGATGAGAAAATAAGAAACATCTTGGAATTGCACTATATTGAAAACTCATATGACACATAATTCATTTAGAATATAACTTTCCATTCTAACAGATGAAATGATTTTTGTTTTGTTGTGTTTTGGCCTCAGTAGGTAGTTCAGATCGGCTTTGAACTCGCTATGTAGCCTTGGCTGACCTCACACTTGCAGCAATTCTCCTGCCCAAGTTTCCTGAGCACTGGGATTACAGGCCTATGCCACTATGCCAGGCCAAGATGTTATATTTTTGAACTGCTATACATCTTCAAAATTATAATCAACACTAAGTATCTGAACCATATTGTTATGATTTGTGTCTAGTTGTCCCCTGCAAATCCTCATGCAGTCATGGGGTAGACTTCTAGAGTTTGTGATTAACTCATGGTCCACTGGGATTATGGGTGTGAATGCTACACCCAGCCTGGGGTGGCTAGCCTGAATGCAACTTAAGGAAGACAGACTCATTCTCTGTAGCCATTGTTGCTGTTACTCCTCCCATTAGCTCTCTGCTCTTTGCTGCTGCCATGAAAAGTTACTCTCCACCATGTGCCAGTCTGCCGTGGAGCCAGCTGAGTATGGACTGAAACCTCCACTAACTGTGAGCTAAATTAAATCTTTCCTTCTTTCATTTTGAGTGTCAGATGTTTGTCTCAGCAATGAGAGAAGAGTAACTGAAACATATACTTTCAAAGGGACACAGACTTCCTGGCAAACTAAAATTTTCACAACAAACCATAAAACAAATATAACTAAGATATTAACCCAGGGACCAAATTATATTTTCCAGCAATGTATCTCATTCTATGCCCACCATCTTCAGCCAAGTAAACCACAGTGTCTTCCTTGGAGTTTGGGTACAAGGGTTCCATTTCAAGGCCTGTTGGGATGTACACTGGCTCAGGATAAAAAGGAGCCCAATCTGGAAAAAAAGGGGGAAGCATTGTTATTTGAATACTATTTCAACATAAAACAGGAAAACTTAATTGTATGTTTTCAATCTAGACTAGGCTAAAGCATAAATTTTTTTTTATGTGGGGCTGGACTTTACCAAGGGTTTATCTGAAGTACTAATGAACACTGTTACACTATAACAAAACTTGTAATATTTCTAAGGAGTACATGTTCTAAATTATATCAAATAATTCAAGATTATTTTGTGCCTAAAATGAATTTCATGCTATGAACTGTTTTTCTTGACCTCTGAGACTCTTAATCTACCTTCTCTATTATCTTCAGCTTCTGGCTTCCCAGTGATTGGCTCCTATATTTATACTATATCTGAGTTTCCTCTGACTCCCAAAAGAATGGGTATTCATAGACCCTCAGTCTTCTCCTTTATCTACCCACTTTATTAGGACTACATTTCTTTCTTAGAACTTGTTAGTGCCATGTGTAAATTTTTCCAAACATTAATTGCTTGATGGAAAAAAATTACTTAATGGCCTAAGTGTATTTTAATACAAGAACTTGGTGATTAGAAACAAGCATAAATGGGAAAATATTTTGAGGATTCCACAAAATGTATTTCTGTTAAAGAATAGGGGTCAAATCTGCCTATAGAAAGGAAATTTAGGGCCAGCCAGATAGCTCAGCAGACTAAAGTGCCTGCTTAGGCATAGTGCAGTGGCTGGGGTTCAATCCCTGGCATGCTATGCCGGCCCCATCTCCTGGGTGTGCTGAGATGGTGATTGAGACTGGGCATGGTGGCACTTGGGAGTCTGATCTATGTAGTAAGATTCTGTAGACCCTGTACTGAATACTAAAAAAAAGGGGGGAAATTTAGACTACCATATTGATGCCAATATACATCACTATGTATCATAGAGGCAACTGAACAACTACATATGCAATCTGATAATAAATCTAAGCAATAAAAATTATAATTAAAAGTAACACTCTTGTTCATTAAAAATATTAATGACTCAAGCCAAAAGGAATCACAAACTACAACATAGCTTCCATTCTGACAACTAACAATTTCAGCTACTTGCCTTTGTGTATGCAGCTGATCAAAGCTCACATGACATCTAGAATTACAGCTAAGGAAACAGATTTCATTAATCTCTGCTGGTATTCTTTTCTATTTATTGATACTGTCTTTATTGTAAAGAAGCATGAAAATCTACAATCAGAATTCGAAAAGAACTTGTATATAAAGGTCAGGTTTGCAGTTTATCGGACTATGCTTGCTGAGAACCAAATTTGGAGACTCACCCTTAACTTGCTTTATTTCTAATTAATTAATTAATTAATTAATTTTTGGCCTTTTTGAGACAGGGTCTTGCTATGCAATTCAGGCTGGCCTGAACTGAACTTTGTGGCCCAGGCTGTTCTCGAACTTGTGATGATCTTGTGTCTTAGCCTCCCAGTGCTGGGATTACAGGCATGCACCACCACACCCAGTTTAGCCTTAACTTACTTTTTGTTCATTTCAGTCCCATGCCCACTGTTCTCTGAAAACTATTCTTTCCTATGACATCTTTCGTGTGTGTGTGTGTGTAGGGTCTCACTACACCTCTCAGACTCATAGTGATCCTCCTGTTATCAGCCTCCCTAGTGCTAGATTATAGGTATGCACCACCATGCCTAGAACATCTTTTTTTTTTTTTAATTATTTATTTGGTACAGGGTCTTGCTACACAGTTTGGTTTTTTTTTTTTTTTTTTTTTTTTTTTGCTGAACCGGGGGATTGAACTCAGACCCTTGTGCTTGCCAGGCAAGCACTTATTCTACTGAGCCATCTCTCCGGCCTCATTGCTACACAGTTTGGACTCATAGTAATCCTCCTCTCTCAGCTTTCCCAGCACTGGGATTATAGGCGTGCACTACCACGCCAGTTTCAGTGGCCAGCATGGTGTGGGGCTAATATGGCATGCAGTACCAGGGATCAAACCCAGGTTGTTGCACTTGCCAGGTAGGTGCTTAGACCACTGAGTTATCTCCCTGGCCCCTCTTATAACATCTTGCTAAGGAAATATATGTGGGATTAATAAGACAGGCTAGAAATATAAAAGCTGTACCATGACAGTTTTAGTGAAAGGGCAAGTTGACTGAGCAATCAGAGGAGCAGAAGCTTTCTCCATGCTTCGCCTGTGAGCAAGTGCTGAGAGTGGCCAGTGATGTGTAGACTAGGAAGCTGCACTGAGCGTGCCAAGTGGGGAGGGCTAATGAGATGGGGAGAAAACAAGCTGAATAGAAGAGGATGGGGCTGTGGGGTTCTGGGGAACAGTGACAGGAAGGGCTCCAGCTTCCCTCTGCCCATTTGGGTTCATCCTGCTATTCTTTCACTGTTGCTACAGAGGACAACTCAGGTAGAGAGTGTCCTTTCCCTGGTCCTTTTCAAGCCCATTGTCACAGGTACATAAGGAAGAGGCTGTGAACAGCAGCCAGCTACAGAGGAAAGGCTTGGGGCAGGGCTCACATTTGGTGGCAGAGGATAGTTTTTCTCTGCATACTTTGTTTCTCCCTGGCATGGGACCAAGGAAGGGTCTCGCGGAGGAGGGTTGAGAAAGATAACATGAGTCTGAAGAGAGAAAAAGGAAGAGAGACCCCTTTAATCTAGCAGAGTACACTCTCATGTGCTTCGCTGAAGCTAAGTGATGCACGCAAGGACTAGTGTGAATTTTATTTTATGAAAGATTAAAATGAAATTTCAGAAACTAGGAGAACATAACATTTATTATACTGTGTATCATTATCTTCATCCTGGTTACTCAAAGTACAAGACATATATTAAAAAGATTCTTGGAAAAAAGAAACAGATAATACAAATTTTTCCTTTTAACAAACTATGATAAAATAGTATTTTAAGTGAAACCAATTATGATATATATTGAGATAGTCTTAAAACAATGGAATTTGTAATTTGGATATATAGATGAATTTTGCTATATTCCCTGAAAACATGAATTCTTTAATATCTTTTTAACTCTATGACTAGAATTATTAGGATAAATTAAGTTTGCACTCTATGAACAAAAACCAAAGCTCTTTCATTTTGTTTCTCTCATCTACCTATTTATCATCTCTTCTATCTATCTATCTATCTATCTATCTATCTATCTATCTATCTATCTATCTACCTACCTATCTACCTATCTATCAATCTTCTATCATCTTCATGTATCTCCTTTCTATCATATGTCAGAAAAGTTTTTAAAAATCTCTAAGCGGTATCTAAGAACATTAAAGTCTCTATTTCTACTTAATATTATGTCTAATTAAGTGGTGAGTTTATTTACCAATGAATATCTGTGAGAGCCCTGCCTGATAAGAGTATATGTGTATTATAATCAACAGGTGGAAATGTGACAACAGTGAGGCCTTGAGGACAGCAGGACTGTTTCTGTCTTATCTGTGGGCATTAAGGCTGCAAGTTCTTTCTAGAATAGTAAAAAATAAACCCGAGGATGAACACATGGGAGCACGACGATATACACTCTTCTATGAACTTTTCAGTTCCACAGATGTCCATTAAAAGGAAGCAGAATGTGGGAAAGAAAAAAGAAATGGACATAAAAGATAAAAAGGGTACAGAAAGGAAAAAGAAAAAAAGACAAGAAGAGGCAATAAAAGCTAAAGCTACTGGGGACAAAGGGCATCCCAAGGGAGAATGAGTGGGCAGCATGAGTAGTCACGGACAGGACTGCATTAAGGCACATCCTGGCACAGAGTCTGTTTAGATTTACCAAAACTGTAGCACATAACTTAAGCTCTCTACTTAAACACATGTGGTATTTGAATCCCTGAAATGTGACTAATGTGAATTATCTATAAATATAAATCCACACCGTAGGGCCGGCAAGATAGCTCAGCAGACTAAGTGCCTGCTTTAGCAAGCGCAGGGTTCGACCCCTGGTCCCACATGTTGCGCTGGCCCTGCCCATAGGGCGTGCTGAGCCTGTGACTGAGTCTGGGTGTGGTGGCGCATGCCTATAATCCCAGCGCTGGGGAGGCTGAAAGGAGGATTGAAACGAGTCTGACCTGGGTAGTGAGACCCTGTACCAAATACATAAAATCAATCAATCAATCAATCAATCAATCAATCCACACTGGATTTGGAAGATTTTTGTATAAAAAGAAAAATGTGCTTGGATATATTTGGGATAAGTGTATTTTTAAAGTTAATTTTTCTTTTTCACTTTTATAAATGTAGCTACTAGAAAATTTACAAGTGTACATATCACTCATGTTATATTTCCATTGGAGAGTTGGAAATAAGTCTAATTAAAATCAAGGTAGATAAAGTAAGTTTGTTATCATCTGCATGTTTAGAACTGCTAAAAACATACCAATGTGCTCAACTTTTTCATCAATGACCTCACAGTGGTACGGCCACCGCGTCTGGCTCAGTGGACCAGAAGAGGAAACGCCATACAAATCTCGGGGTTCTCGAAGGCGTGGTACCCATCTCCCTAGGTGATATTCCAACAATATCTGTGTAGTCCGGGGGAAGAATGGGTCACTAATAGAGTCAGCTGAGAAAAAGATTCAAACACCACCATGAGTGACATGAAGGAAAACCCCAAGCCTTATAATGTTCTATACAGTTATTTATTTTCTTCAAAGTATACTCGATTTATAGATATTTGTGTATCATTATAACTAACAATTAGTGGCCTTTAAAAATAAAAGTACTAATAAAATTTTGTAACAAGTGATCTTCTCAAAAGCCAAAAAATGGTTGTGACCTTGTATTTTTTTGACCTTGTATATTATTAAACTGAATTCTAACTACTACTCTTAAGAATGTGTTTCTAGCAAAGTATCTTTGAATTCTTCTTAATCAGACTATTTGTCTAATGGGTTAAATACACTCACTGACAATGATTCCTCGCCAATTAGTGAACTGTTATTCTCAAAGGCTGCTAGAGAACTTTGCCATGACATTTTTCTCAACTGTCATTCCAGGGCCATTACGTGACACCACCCAGGAACACGATTCCCATAGAAGCAGAGGGCTGAACCAAAAGGCAGGCAGTGGGCCTGTTTCCTTCAGTGTATAATTCAGTGGCCTCAACTGGAAGGAAGCTCTCCTTAAGCTCATTTCCCATCCTTCGTGATTCTACTGAAACTGCCTATTAACGTCCAGCTGTAAACTTCCCACTGGAATGGTCCAAGGAAGGCTTCTGCTCCACTTAACAAAAAACTTTTCCACCTTCTTTCTGCACTTACCCTGTAAAGGCTTCCCCTCAGACCCTTTAGGCAAAGCCCCAAAACTACTTCACTTTAAGCTGCCCAATTCATGTACTGATATTTGATTAAATAAATCTTAATGTACAAAGTTTAGCTTTTAACAGTTTTTACACAAATTGGATCATCTTAAACACAGTTTTGTGTGACTTTTTCATATTATATATTATGCACAATTGTCTCTATCCATAATAAATATATCCCCTTTTACCAGCTAAATAGTATATAATATACTCCTTGCATTATAATTTAACAATTACCCATTGATGGATATTTAAACCCTTTCTGACTTTTGATTCATTTTGAGAAAGAAGAATTAGAAGGGAAGCTTTCCCCACCAAATATCAAAATAGTAAATTTAAAACTATTATAATTTATAATATGACAATCACTCAAGAAATAATGGTAAGTGATCAGTAAGTCCAGTAATAGGCAAATGGCATTTAGTATGATATAGGTATCATACCAAATGTCACATGATAAAGATATTTTGAAGCAGTGGCTAAAGAAAATGCAAACCAATAAATAAGCCTATTGACTAAAAAATGGCAAGCAGCTATTTTTTAATTAGGAAATAAAATCTATTACTCATATAGGACTTCTGGGAAGATAGCAGAGTGTTGAACAGCGAAGACTCAGCCTCTCCAAGATTTGGTGGCTAGATACTGGAATACAGCAACATGAGAGCAAGAAAAGGTGGGTTCCCAGGATTCAGCAAGGATCTGAAGTGATAATTGAAGACCATAGGGAGAGCAAAGAGATACAGACCTCAATGAAGGAGGAGGTGGCAGGTGGCACTTTCTCCCTGGACCCCGTGTGGAAGGGGCAGCTCAAACCTGCAGACACATGGTGATTACTAGAAATCCCAGAGGCCTCCACAGAGAAAAGCATCAGTAGAACAGAGCAGTGGTTGCAGAAGATTGCAGTGGCTGGTGAGTTATTTGGGTTCAGATGTTCCCTTAGGAGAGGCCAACCATCTCCTCTTTGAGAGGAGATAATTGAGCTTGGAATTCAGAGCAGCTGTGGGCAGGCTCCATTTATCGGCACTCTGTGTCTGGGTGAGATGGAACCAAGCTCAAGTAGGCCAAGGACAAGGAGCCAAGTTTAGGTGGCAGAGAGCAGAGTTCAAGCAAGCAGGAGGCACATGGAGTGTGGTAGGCTGAATAAGCTGGATTCCAGCCTCACAGCCCAAAACCAGCCTGAACTTCAGTAGAATTAAAAGTGCAGGCTTGCTGGGATTGTCCACTACCCTGCTGCAAATCTACAACTGGCTTGCTGGGATTATTCAACATGGATTTGGGCTCTGTCTGCCCACTCTTATCAACTAGTGACAACAGATGGCATTCCCTGAAGTGGATTTTTTTTTCTTGTTCTTGGTTTTATGAGAATGAACATTGTTTCTAGTCTTTCTGTTGTCCTATTCAGTTCCTGTTTTTATTTCTTCCATCTCTTTCCTGTCTGTTCTCTTCATCAGTTTCCTAAATTTCACATAATCTTCCTTTTCCTACATCCCTGCTTCTCTTTTTATTCTTCTATTTCTCTATTCCACCCCCCCCTTAAAATTCTCTCTAAGAGTAAAATTGTCCTACTGTGGGCATATTTAATGTATACAATTTCTAGTTTGAGGTTTTGCTATATAACCACAAACATAATTCATACAGTTAAAGGTAGCAAATTAATAGTTAATGAGTTTGTCATAGCCTAGGCATTGTTTGATGTCATTAGTATTGCTGAGTATTCTACTTTAGTCAAGGCAACTAATTGTTCTAATGAGTTGTTCTTCCTGGTTTGCCAAGACCAAGATAGCCTAAGAGTCACAAATGTTGCTATAAGCCAGTGCCAAAGAACTCGGAGATAGGCCAAATAGGCAGCAACTTCTCATGCTGAGTAAACTGAAGAGGTAGGATCTAGCAAATGACTCAAAACCCAAAAGCCAGGTATAACTGGAAGGCATCTCTGAGAAGTAGTTGTTTCCTAAGGGTTCTCTAAACTAGCCATAAAGCTACCTGTCATAAGCAATTTAGAAGCATCAGCCCAGGAATTAAACTGAAAAAAAAAAACACCCATAGAAAATGAGAAGAAACTCAAGCAAATGCAACCCTGGACTTCCAGCTCACCAAAGGCAAACTGAGGGGTAACAAGATGGAACAATTCAAAAGCCACTCACCTGGACTCTGAAGTGGTAACAGTGTAAGTAACAAAGCAAATGAATAAGGTTCTAGAGAAAAAAATCAAATCAGAAATAATTTCTCTGATAATTACAGAGATGGTCACCATGAAAAAGAAGTGATTAGTGGCTCTAGAGAAGATAGATAAAGATAGATATACAGGAGCTATATTTTTATATAAGGCAAGATAGAAGTCATGAATGCCCAATATAGAAAGAAATGGAACCCATGAAACATTTAAATAGACATCCAGGAGATTAAAAATTCTCTTGAAGGTATAGTGGCTCACAGTAGAAGGAACACTTGTGAGGACCAACTATCAGATCTAGAAGATAGGACTGAAGTTAGCAAACACAAAAAGAAAGACTCTTACAAAATAGCAAGAGGTCATGAAACATCAACCCAACAGCTGCTAGATGATGTAAAGAACAACAACAGAAGATTGATGGAATCAATAAAAAAGCAGACAAGTACAAACATAAAAAACCTGTTCACAGAAAAAATGGCAGAAAACTTAAGGATGGAAAAAGATTTTGAGATACAGACAAGAGACACATATAGAACTCCAATTAGCCATGATATAAAAACAAATCTATACCAAGGTAAAGAAAAGTCAAGACTCCAGAAATTTAACACAAAAACACAATGTTAAAAGCTGTTAGAGAAAAGAAAAAAATAACTGATAAAGGAAAGTCCATCAAAATCACTACACCCATCTCAACACAAACCCTCAAGTCCAGGAAAGCTAGGACTAATGTATTTCAAACCTAAAAAGAAAATAACCTCCATCCCAGATTGATGTATCTCACAAAATATCTTTCAAAACTGATGGAGATAAAAGATACATCCATGACACAGAACACTTGAAGGAATTCATGACCACCAAACCAGCACTCTAAAATGTACTGAAGGACATTCTAGAAAGAGACAATGAAGACTACAACCCCATAAACCCCAACAGAATGAATCTACCAGGCAAAGTAATTAAGAGGGATGGGGAACCAGCAATGGAAAATAACAAGAGAAGGATAAGTCAATACATATCAATTATAACTGTCAATGTAAATGGTTTCAACTCACCAATCAAAAGAAGCAGACTGGCAGAATGAATCAAAAACAAGATCCAACAATATGTTACACACAAGAAAAGAAATTTAATTCAAAAAGAAATTCATAGACTTACAGTCTAAGGATAGAAAACAGTATTCTGAAAGGAACCACCCAAAAAGCAGGGGTAGTTTATTTGCAGAAAAGGTATATATCAAGCTAAGACTTGTTAAAAGAAACAAAAAGGATCACTACATCTTTGTAAAGGCAATAATCCAAGAAGAGATAAAAATCATAAATATATATGCATCAAATACCAGGACATCCAACAATATAAAACAGATATTTATGGACATTTAAATAAGCACTAATTGAACTAGAGATCCCATGACCCTGCTGTCACAGATTAAACAAAAATCAATAAAGAAATATCAGAACTGAATGAAACTTTTGAACAAATGGAATTAGTAGATATTTACAGTGTTTTTGACACTATAACAACACAGTACGCATTCTTCTCAGCTGCAGATGGGACATTCTCCAAAACAAGACCACGTACTAGCTCATAGAACATGCTTAAGTAAATGCAAAGAATTGAAATTATCCTATAGTATAATAAAATTGGAAATCAATGGCAGAGGCCACAAAAGCTACATAAATATATGAAAATTAAATTCCACCCACCTGAATAACCAATGCATCACCAATGAAATTAAAGCAGAAATTAGACAATTTCAACAATTAAAGATACGGCTAATACAATACACTGGAATTTATGGAATGCAATGAAAGTAGTCTTACAAGGGCAATAGCAGCTGTGGATTCCTTTGCAGCAAAAGAGTGAGCTCAAATAACCTGGTATGGTTTGGGGGTAGATGTCCCCCTAAAACCTCATATAGGAATAGGGCTTTTTCAAAGGTGGCTGAATCTATTGTGTATGTGTGATGCTGGGACTAAAAGTATATGATTAGTAAATCAGTCCATTGATTGGTTTGGCATAGTTCTAAGATTAAGAGTGTGTTACACTCATCCAGGGCAGGCAGCCTGCATGCAATGTAAAGGAGAGAGTA